ACTGGTTTTCCAATATTAAAGCAACCTTCTACTCCTTAGATAATTAAACTCAGTGTAGTCTTCATGTATTAACTATTTTATTATTTGATGAAATGAGCTGTCAATATTTTGTTTGAGATGTTTGTGACAATGTTAATGAGTGAGAGTGATCTATAATTTCCCTTCCTCAAACTTGCCCTACTGTATTTTGCATCGAGATTATGCCTCATGAAATAAATTGCAAAGTATTCCTTTGTTTTTTACTTCTCTTGGAGAGTTTGTGTAATACTAGGATTCTTTCTACAGGATTTTGAAGACCTTTCTGGGCTAGCGTGTAACTGTGCAAATTTTAAACTATTGATTTAATTTATTTAATGTTTATAGACCAGTTAGATTTCCCTTCTTTTTTATTTACAAAAAGAAAAAAATGGTTTCTTCAAGATTTCCTCTTATCCTTTACACATCTATAGTTATCTGCATGATTATTCTATTTTTTATTCTTTACATTGGTCATTTCTGCTTTCTCTCTGTTTTTTTTTAACCATTCTCACCAGATGTCTTACAATCTTATCAGTCTTCTCAAATAAACAACTTTTGGTTTTGTTGATTGGTTCTACTTAATTTCTTCCTTATTTCTCAGTTTATTTTGTTCATTTTCTAACTTCCTTTTATGCTTCTTAATTTTCGGCCCTTCCTCTGTTCTTACATTAAAAATTTAAGACTATAAATTTTAAATTTTCCTATAAGTTATACTTCAGTTTCACACACACACACATACACACACACACACACTCACACACACATACACACACACACACAGACGTTCTTATATTGTTCTCATCATCTGAGTTCTAAATATTTTCTGATTTCTATTATGATTTTTTTTCTTTAATCTGTAAGCTAGGCCTATGTATATCTTAATTTTCAATCTTGGGATTTCGAGGTTACTTGTTGTTTGTATCTAACTTGACTGCTCTGTGATCAGAAAATGTCAACACTATGATACCAGTGCTTTGAAATGTCTTAGGATTTGCTGTACAGCCTGGAACTTAGCCAGTTTTTATAAATGTTCCACATTGCTTCAAAACAACACATTCTGCATTTGTTAGGTTCATTGTTCCATATATGTCTATTGCATAAAGCTAATTTATTGTATATATTAGTTTGCTAAGGCAGCCATAACAAACTACTACAGACTGGGGCTTTAAACAACAGAAATTTATTCTCTCAAAGTTCTGGAGGTCAGAAGTCAGAGATCAAGGTAGCAGGGTTGGTTTCTTCTGAGACCCCTCTTCTTGTTTGGTAGCTGTTCATCTCCCTGTGATTTCACATGGTGTTTCCTCGGTGTCCAAATCTCTTCTTATAAGGACACCAGTCCTATTGGATTAGGGCCCACTCTAGTGACCTCCTTCTAATTTAATTACCTCTTTAAAGACCCTATCTCCAAATATGATCACATTGTAAGGTACTAGGAATTAGGACTTCAACATACGAATTTTGGGGGAGACACAATTCAGTCCACGACATAGTCCTTTTCAAATTCTATGTAAGATTTCCTTCCTTGATTTCATGAGTTAGGTGCTGAAAGCAGTCAAATTTTCCACTGTGATGATGAAGTCTTCTGTTCCTCTATAAAGTTCTCTTGATTTTTGATTTATGATTTTGATTTTGAGGTTATGTTATTAGTGTATATAAGTTTAGAATATTTACAGCTACTTGGTGAACTAAACATTTTATTATTATGGAGTTAATTCTAGCTCCAGAAATGCTTTTGCCTTATATTTTATTTTGTCTGTTAAAATATACTTACATTAGCTTTCTTCCCATCAGTGTTTGTGTGGTAAATATGCTTTCATCATTTTACTCTCTACTTTTATCCTTATTTTTTAATGCAGCTTGGGTTTTTAAAATTCGGTCTGACACTATTTTTCTTTTAAATAGAGTATTATATCCATTGGTATTTATTACCATCAATATAATGTACTTTGATCTTTTTCTATTACCCTACTTTTTGTGAGAGACAATATAGAAATAGTCTTAAAGGGAACAGACCTCTGAGAAACACTGCCTTGGTTTGAATATCAGCTCTATTACTTCCTACCCGTGTAAAGTTGGCCTAGTTACACAGTCTGTGCCCCCGTTTTCTCATTTGTAAAATGGTTATAATAACAACCCTACCTCATAGCATCATTATAACTTTGAGTGAGTTAATATACATAAAGTGCTAAGAACACTGCTGGATACAAAATAAGATATATACATATACCTAATTTTTGGTAATTTTTTATCATTTTATTTATCACTTTAAGTTGACATGTTTTTCTATTTCTTTTTTTTTTTTCTTTTAAATTGTCAGAGTGTCTTTTCTTATTTAATTTCCTTCTGTCCTCTGATTTGGAAATTATATTCTCTTTTCTGTTCTTTTGGAATTACCCTGAAAATTTATCAAACATACTTAATTTGTCAAAATTTAAAGCCAATTCTTATCTTTACCCTCCTCTTGAACAATACGAGAATTTTGTAACACTTTAACCCTGATCAACTTCTTTCTGACTTATACATTACTTTCATATTTTAGATTTTTCTCAATTTTAAGCCTCATACATTTTTATTACTGTTTTATATTCAATAATTATTTGGTTTTACTGACATATTTACTGTTTTTTAAAATTTTTTTACACCTCAATTATTTCACCTGATAACTGTTTCTGCCTGAATTATATCTTTTAAATTGAGTCTGCAGTTAGAAAAATTTGTTTTTTACTGTCTGAAAATATCTTTATCATGCTCTTTTAAAAAAGAAATGTAACTTATTAAGAGAGTTTGTCAATAAATATAGATTGATATCTTCTTTCAGTATATTGGAGACATAGTTTCATAGTTTTTTTAGCTCCACAGTTTTATCTTCCATATTTGCTATTGACAAGTAAGATTGCTTTTAAAATCCTTGTCTTTTTTTTTTCAGACGGAGTTTCACTCTTGTTGCCGAGGCTAGAGTGCAGTGGCACAATCTTGACTCACTGCAACCACTGCCTCCCAGGTTCAAGTGATTCTCCTGCATCAGCCTCCTGAGTAGCTGGGATTACAGGCGCCTGCTGTCATGCCTGGCTAATTTTTTTTTTTTTTTTGTATTTTTTGTAGAGATAGGGTTTCACTACATTAGCCAGGCTGGTTTCAAAGTCCTGACCTTAGGTAATCTGCCTGCGTTGGCCTCCCCAAGTGCTGGGAATGCAGGCGTGAGGCACCGCACCCGGCCCAAAATCCTTGTCTTTTGTTCTTCAATGTGACTAAGATGTTTTAAAGATGGGTTTCTCTCTCTCTCTTTTTTTTTTTTAGACAGAGTATCACTCTGTCACCAGGCTGGAGTGCAGCGGCACAATCTCAGCTCACTGCAACCTCTGCCTCCCAAGTTCAAGTGATTCTCCTTGCCTCAGCCTCCTGAGTAGCTGGGACTACAGGTGTGCGCCACCACACCCAGCTAATTTTTGGATTTTTAGTACAGACGGAGTTTCACCAGGTTAGCCAGGAAGGTCATCTCCTGACCTCATGATCTGACTGCTTCAGCCTCCAAAAGTGCTGGGATTACAACAGTGAACCACTGTGCTCTTTAATTTATCCTGGCTGGTTCTATGGATTGGTGTATTTCATCAATTCTAGAATAGTCTCAGCCATCAAATCTTCAAATATTGTGTCTCCTTTTTTTTATTTCTTTCTGAAAGTTATGTTAGATATGTTAGACCTTACAATTCTTTCCATCATGTCCTTTAACCTCTTTTATATTTTCTCTTTGTCTCTGTTAAATTTTAGATAATCTCTTCCAATCTGTTTTCTACTTCACTAATTCTTTCTTTAGCTGTTAAGCCAATTCATGAAGGTTTTTTCCATGTTTTAATCTCCAGAAATTCTCTTTTAAATTTTAAGATCTATTATTTTATTTAATTTAATTACTTTTAAAATGTAATTATTTTGTATTCTGTATCTGATAAATGCAGTTCTTGAAGTCTTTCTGGGTCTGATTTGGCCTTCTGCTGTTTATACTGGATCTTAGTATGCATTGTTTCTATATGTAATCACTCTCTCTCTGTCTCTCTCTCTGTCTCTCTCTCTCTGTCTCTCCCTCTCTCATTCTCTCTCTCCCTCTTTGTCTCACACACACACACATCTATATCTCTACCTCTAATTGTTTTTACTATGAGCTCATGTTTCTTGCAATTTTCTGATGATATTTTGAGGCCTAGGTTGGAGGTGAGGCCATTCACTTTTGCTAAGTGCCTGAGAGCACATCTTGCACTGGACCTCTTTAAACTAAATTATCATCTTGAGGTTTCTTAGAACACAGAGGTTTTGAAAACTTGGTCGGCCAACTTGTGTATTCATTGGCTTGCCATTAAACATTTTTAGGGCAGCTCTCTCAACTTAGCACCCAAATTAAAGGCTAACAAATCTCTCTGTAGATTTAGGAGTAGATTTAGTGATTTTAGAGACAGCATAACCATTTTGGGCACTAGCTTTATCTGAGGAGATTTCTATTAGACTCTCCCTCTAAGCAAACTCCCAGTTTTAACTGCTGTCCCAGGAAGGGCCAGTCATCCAATTGTACACTACTTAATGCCAGGCTGCATCTTTCATATAAACTATACCTTCCCTGTAGATATACATTGTAGTCTATATGAAAGGTGCCCTTTGATAATGTTCAGTTTCCAATCTTCACCACTATATGTGATGGTTCTATCTGTATCCCCACAAGATGGTGAAAACTAAAGTTCAAGTTCACCAGGTTCAGCAAGTGACAGCTGGGTTTGGTGCTTTGGTTTTATAATTCCATAACTGACAAAACTTGAATAAAGAGTAAAGACAGTGCCTCCTCCTTTTTGAAGTCCTTAAAATGGTAGATATATTGATATCTTATGAATTGAGTTGATTTGCCAGTCATGATTTCAACAAAAATACCTATCACTTGCTTCATTAAAAGAACTGTAACATGATGAAAGTGTTTATTGCTTTGCTTTGTTTATTTTTAGATGTGGACTTTCCAGTTTTTCTCCAGCCTACAAATGCAAATGAGAAAACACAGCTAATCAAAGAAGGATCTCGAAGTTATTGCACAGACTCTTGATATTGAGCCCTCTGAGAGTCCACAGTCCCTCCTCTCAGTTCAGTCTTGTTTCCAGATGGTCGTAGGGGAGCGTGTGGGGCATAAAGTGCTGTGAACTTTTCCATCTTGGTATTTTATTTTTGGGTTAGGAAAACATGATTGCTATATAATTTTCTCAGTTTGCAGACTTTCTCTCTGAGTAGAATTTCTTATGAAACACATTCAATTTGGGTGAATAAAGGCCTGAAGAGTTATTTTATGCTCCTTGCCTGATGTAGGACAGTGGAATTGTACAGCCTTTATGAACCTGCCCTTTATGTGAGGCAGATCTGATTCCTAACTGACCAAAGTAATATTCCAGAACAGAAGCCACTTTTCTTCCATGTAGCACAATATTCATATCTACCACAAACATCATCATCAAAATATATGAGAACCTATAAAGAGTTTTTGGGTGTGGAGCCTCTTCCATGTCAATATTCAATAAAGTTATAGAAATGTTTCAAGAGCCAGAAAAGGATGATTAGATTTCTTAAAAATCATATTTTTAAGGTATATTTTTGGAACATTAAAAATTGGCATTTACTGAAAACTGGCAAGTAAAACCAGGAAGAAACAGGTTTTGTGTGTACTTTTAGATCAGCTTAAAAACAAAGCAAAACAAAACTTCAACCTGGTTATATGTTGTAAGTGAACCAGAAAATCATTCTGAGACTGAACCAGCCCCATCAGCATGTTGATCATTTTCTAGTAAAATAATTTTTGTATAACTGGCTCAGATTAGCCAAACTAAGGAAAAACAAAACAAAACAAAACAAACAAACAAACAAAAAACACATGAAGGGACAGAACTCTAAACTCTAGAGCCTAAATTTACACCAAAACGCATATCACCTCATTTTTGTTAAAATTATTTGCCTTGACAGAAATTGCTCAGCTCTGTACATGTTACACAATTTAAGCCCAGAGGTCATCTCTGCATCTGCTTGTTTGATTCTTATATTTATTATGTGGTAGAAACCATGTGATATTTCTAAAATACTACAGCAGAAAAAGTGTTTGTTTTTCTAGGTCTTTCTTACTTCTTTATATAATATTGCATTTTCAAGATCTTGTTATGTTTTTATATAATATTGTATAAAGTGCCTTCATCTTTTTTATCCCCCTCCCCACAAAATTATAGTCAATTGCTGCTAAATATATATTGTAAGTGAGAATTAGTGTTATAGCTCTGACAGTTCTGACGTCATTAAAATTCTGCTCTAACTCTTTAGTTACTGAATTTTTTTTTCTATGTAATCAAGTAGACAGAGCCTTGGTTTGAAAGTTAAGAAACCTGGTTCTAATCTAAGCTTTCATTAACTAGCCTTGTGACCAAGTGAGATGAAAATAACATGGCTAATCTCTCTATGGCTCTGTTTTCATATCTGCCCTGACCACCTTCCAAGTTGCTGGATGACCAGATAAAATGGCTAAAGTGAAAGAAATCTGAAAAGTCAAATGTTCAACAAATGTAAGATGGTTTTAAATGAATTTGTATATGTTGACACACACAGACAAATGTACTGTGACTCGCTGCATATAAACTGTCTCACCCAACAAGACCCATAGAGACAACCAGTATTAACAGCTCCAGTAACCAGCAAGTGCTTGGAAAGCTGTACTCAACAAACAAATGCTATTTTCTGTTTGGAGGAAACAATAGGATAAATAGCCCAATCTGCAGATAATTTGAGCCATTCCATTTCCTTCCTGTGGTCTTTTTAAGCAAAATGGTCAGGTCTATTTTGAAAAGCAACTTACAAATTACAAAGCTCACCTTCTCTTTCTTGCTCAAACCTCATTTTCCTTTCTCACATGGAATTTTTTGCTTCCACTCCTAGTTCCCCCAGGAAGCTGGTCCAAGAGTGGTTAAGATGAGAACAGGACATGGATCAGAATCAGAATTAGACGGTAGAATCAAATTGCTAGAGGGGTTCTGGCCAATGTTCCTCACAAAGGGCTAGTTTCTGGTTACAATGATGTGTGACAAATGCAAGCACTTGAATGCCTATGAATGAGGGAATGAATTCTGGAGAATGCTCCTTCAGCTACAGAGATACAAGAATCCACTCTTCATTAGAGGAGGAGCTGCTGAAGTATATTGTGGGGGTCAACAGAAGGGCTATCCAGAAGCACTGGCAGTCATTCTGAACTCACAAGCATCTTAGCAGGGAAGCTTCAAGGCAAGAAGAGAAATGCTGAGTGTGAGCCTCATCGGTGGACACACAGAGTTCATTGAACGGTCCGTGTCAACAGCTCACCACCTATCCTGGGCACTGGGCTACTGGAATGGGAGACTTCTTAAAAAGTTCAATGAGTCATCCATTTATTTTTTTGCTGTCTTACATTAGAACATAATAAAAAACTTACATGTGCATTTTTCTTTACCCAAACACACACACACACACACATATATCAATTCTTTTAGAATAAGTGACATTCTATATCTAGAATGAAAAAACTGTCTATACATGAATTTTTTTTTTTTTTTTTTTTTTTTGAGACAGAGTCTCACTGCAATCTCTGCCTCCTGGGCTCAAGTAATTCTTGTGCCTCAGTCTCCCGAGTAGCTGGGACTATAGTCGCGTGCCATCACGCCCGGCTACATTATATTTTTAGTATTTTTAGTAGAGACGGGGTTTCACCATGTTGGCCAGGCTGATCTCGAACTCCTGACCTCAGGTGATCTGCCCGCCTCGGCCTCCCAAAGTGTTGGGATTACAGGTGTGAGCCACCACGCCCAGCTACATTGATTAATTTATTAGCATAATAGTTTTATATAAAATGCCTTCATTTCGAAAACATTTTTATTGTATTCAGCATGGAAATTTTTTTTTTAATCAATGTGTAACATACTAGAAAATTAAATATTTAGCTACCAACACTTGAAAGATACCTGTTATTCTGAGTCAAAGAGTAAAGTTTTAACAAAATAAAATGAGTCACTTTCCTACTCATAGTCTGCATTTCTTAGCTCTTTTACCTCTTCCTTTCTCATCCCATCCCCCAAAATAGAGGATTTGAAAGTGTTGGCCTTAGTCTCACAGGTGCATTTACTTGTATTTGAGAAAGCTGATTTATTCTTTCATAAATTAGAAATAAAATTTCTAAGAGAATAATAACCAAGAGTCATAGTGCTTAGTATCTGACACTGCCCTAAGAGCTTTATATTGATTCATTTAATACAACAACCTGTGAGAGAAGTACTGTCACCATCATCATCTGTGGTTTTTTAGACTATGTGACTAGAACATGGAAAAGATAAGTAACTTGGCTAACAGGGTTCAAAATGACTTTATACAATGTAATTACATGAACAATAAGAATCAAGTGTATCTTCACTGGAATTCCCCAGAATAGTTCCCTTTCTGACCTAGAAACATCATCTCTGTGGTTTCTCACAAATATCCTTCTTGGAGATGGTGCATATTTAGAGAAAACCATGGATAAGTCAATAAGCCTGAGTCTAGCCCTGCACCCCTAATCTGGATGGTCATTCTAAAGACATTGTTTAATCTTTCCAGGTAGAGCTTCCTTATCTGTAGAATGGTTTCCTTGACTGAAAGGAAAAACTTGAAAGCTCTTTAGTGCACATATGTCTAAGAATAATTTTTCTAGTAAACAATGGCTTTTTTTTTTTTCACATTTCACGGAGTCTTGACACACCTCCTTGGAGCATTGCTGTTAACAAATTTAAGGGATTTGACCTTTGGATTTAGAGGTGAGAAGAGAATACCCTTTAATAGATGGAACACTTTGCTACTCCCAGAATGTCCGTTTTCTGACTGTACTGGCATCAGAACCTGCCTTTCAACCTCCTTCCTCCCAGAGTAGCAGCCAGCAGCCCAATCTCCCTAACCCAAGTGTCCGTCTGAGGACAGAGAGACCAAGCAGTGCCACAGAAAGGAGCCCTGGCTGTGACTCAGGAGGCCTGAGATCTCACATGCCACTTCTCCTCTCTGTAACCTTGGATAAGTCATTTCACATCTTTGGGCCTCAGTTTCTTCATTCTTAAGCAATTTTTATTAGAGAATATCTTTAATTAGATGACAATTATGGGACACTCTGACCCATACATGTTATGTAAAAATAACTTACATATGGTTAAACAAAAATGTACAAAAGCAAATTTTTTCACCATCCCCATATAGTTTGTTAGGGCTCTCATAACAAAATATCACAGACTGGGTGGCTTTTAAAAACAAAATTTATTTTATCACAGTTCTAGAGACTAGAAGTCTAAGCCAAGGTATTGGCAGGTTTGGTTTCTTCTCAGAATCCATGGCTTGTAGATGGCCATCTTCTCCCTGCATCTTCTTGTGGCCATCTCTGTGTGTGTGCATGTGCCTGCTGTCTCTGTGTTCTGTTCTCCTCATCTTGTAAGGACACCAGTTGTATTGGATCAGGACTTATCCTAATGACCTTGTTTTTGCTTAATTACCTCTTTAAAGGCCTTATCTCCAAATACAGTCACACTCTGAAGTACTAGGAGTTAGGTCTTCAACAAATAAATTGGGGTGGGGAGGGAAGTCAGCCCAACAACACCCATGCCATCAATTTCTCAAAATTGTGCCATATTTCAGTTTGCTTTATATTTGAACCACATATGTTTTATAAAGACTTTTTTTTTTTTTTTTTTAGAAATCCCTGAGTATCTTTGTTCTGTCTTTTTGAGAAAAGTGACATGTGCCTTTATCATATCTCTAAGGTCTCCCAGGTCCTTAATCACACTACTATTGTAAAGAATCTGCTTCTTTTTGAAAAATAATCTTCCCAGAGCCCTCTTTTTTCTTCCCCTTAATTTGTCCCGATTGCTTTCTTTGCCAGCTGCATCACTGTCAACCTGAGATTTTATTTTCATTGAGTTCCTGGGTTGGTTTCCCTTTTTCTTAAATCCTGTGTACTCCTCCTTCTTGGATTCTTGCTTTGCTTTGCTGAAGTACATCCGTGGCATACACAGAGACATGCTGCCAGACATGCTGTTCTTTCCCTTCAAACAAGAACTCACTACCCAGCTGCAAGGAGGATGGTTAACTAGTAGCCACCACGTGTTAACTCCTCTAGCCGAGGTTCTAAGCCTCCGGCCAATGACTGAGCAAGGTGGTGATGCTAGGGCCTCACCATTTCTGCCCAACTTGAGACTCCTCTAAAAAGAAATCTTTGCTCTGGAGCCACCAAGAGGGTTGGCAGAAACTTTGTTGGGTCTGCATCATTGTCTAATGACTACCTCTACCCAATCCTGTGTCCTCCCCTTTTCCATTCACAGAAGTTACTCCCCTGTAAAATGTTGTGCTCTAATTCTGTTTGAGCTTCAGCTTCCTGGAGAAGCCATTCAGTATAACATCCTCAAATAATGTTTACTTACTTTTTATTTGTTTCAGAAAGGAATCATAGATTTAAACTTTATGAGACCTTGCAAGTGTGAACTATTTGTCCTCATATGTGATTACTACTTCGATCGGTATACAATTCTAGGCTTAAAATTATTTCTCTGCAGAACTTTGAAGGCCATGCTCCACTGTCTTCTAACATCCAGTAATGATGATGATAAGTCTGATCATAATCCAATTCTTATTCCTTTGTAGCTAGCCTAGTTCTTGTTTAGATTTTGTTTTGTTTTGTTTTGTTTTGTTTTTCTCCATCTTTGAAAGTTATAGGGTTTCATCTTTATCCTCAATGCTTTTGAATGTCACTAGGCTGTGTCCAGGCATAGTTGTTTTTCATTCATCCTAACTTGCATGATCCTTTCCATCCATCTGAGGACCAATGTCTTTCTTTTATTCTTTCCCTTGCATTGTCTCTGTTTGCTCTTTCTGGAGCTCATATTAGATACTCTTTATGTCTTCAGGATCTATCTTTTCTTTCTTTTTTTTGGGGGGGGGTGGGTGTGTGTGTGTGTGTGCGCGCGCGTGCGTGTATGTATGAAACCGGATCTCACGCTGTCCCAGGAGCAGGAGTGCAATGGTGCAATCAATCATAGCTCACCGCAGCTTTGAACTCCTGGGCTCAAGAGATCCTCCTGCCTCAGCCTCCCAAGTAGCTGGGACTACAGGTGCACACCACTATGTCTAGCTAATTTTCGTATCTTTTGTAGAGATGAGGGTCTTGCGTTGTTGCCCAGGCTTGCTTAAACTCTTGGCTTCAAGCAATCCTCCCGCCCCGGGCTCCCAAAATACTGGAATTACAGAGGTGAGCCACCGTATCCAATGTCATGTTTTTATTTTTTGCTTTCCACATATTTTCCATTCTGTCTTCTATATCTTCATAGTTGATCTTTAGCCATGACCAATATGTTACTTTTCACCTTAACAATCATACTTTTATATTCAGGAACTCTCTTCTTCCCTAATTGCTCCTGTTAATATCACTGTATTCTGGTTTTCATTGCTGTAACACTCTCTTGGATGTCCCTGAGGATATCCCTAACTACTTTTTTGTTAAATAGTTCTGTTCTATTCCTTGCATTATCTCTGTTTTCTCCTCAGTCATTTATTTAACTTGTTCATCTTGGACTTTCTTTTTTAAGTTGTTATTTCCTCCCAAATGTCTGGTAAACACAATATGACGGAATACATTGATATCTGTAAAAATGACTGTGTCCTGAGGACAATCAGGCTTTGCATTTATGGTGCATGGGTGGGAACAGCCATGCTGGCCTAAGATCCCCCAACCTGACAAGTCAAGGAAGAACTTGCTCTAAGAGTTGGGTGGGGTGGCCTTCCTGTTCCCTCCATCTCTATTAGGCTCTACTCTGCCCTACTCCCTAGCCCTATACCACTCTACAGACTCTAGACTGGCAAATCTACTCCGCTTAAGCCATTCTCCAGTGGGATCTCCCTGGCAAAAAATTCAGCAGCAGCTGCACAATGTTGTGGGCGGCTGACCTCTGTGCTGCTCTCTCTGTGCCTGGAGTCTCTTATGAGCTCCATGGGGAGAATGGTTTTGTCTCTGCTAGCTTGCAGAATGTGCATTTGAAGCTGTGCTTTTCTCCATTATAATCTCATTTGATTTTCACCTTCCAGAAGTTATTTAAAATGTCTATTTGTTAATTACACCTACTGTAGTTTTCCATGTTGCAATAGATTTTTTTTTTCTTTTGTGTATTTTTATTATCTTTCCAATGTACTCCTGGGGAGGAAACGGTGTAGTCGTATGCGCCCAACCTTCATACATGTAATCCTGATCCCTGGACACAGTGGGTGAGCACCTAAGTGAGGCCAAGAATAACGGAGAGTTTTGCAGTCAGGCCAGAGAAAGAGAAGTGACTCTCTGTGTGATAGACCATGAAGAATAAAGCTCCAGAACTTTTAGGGTGGGGGACAGCACCATGTTTCCAACTGTGTGCGCTAGAGAGGAGCTGAGAAGCACTGACAGAGAAACTTTTAAGGAGGCCTAGTGACATTTCATCCTTGGTTTCTTGGGGACACCCTTGTATCATTATAATAAATGTCTTGCTTATACTAGCTCTTGTGAATTTCTGTCACTTACAAGTAAGAAGGCCAAAAATTATGCATGTTTGGCCTCCCTGAAACCTGTTACTCAAGTAAGGTTGGCCGTTGGGGAAAAGGGCTTGGCTAGGTATGGTAGCTTGCGCCTTAATCCCAGCACTTTGGGAGGCCGAGGCCGGAAAATCACTTGAAGTCAAGAGTTCAAGACCAGCCTGGGCAAAAAAGCTAGAGCCAGGTGAGGTGGTGCATGCCTGTAATCCCATGAGGCTGAGGCAGGAGAATCACTTGAGCTCAGAAGTTTGAGGCTGCAGTGAGCTATGATTGCATCACTGCACCCCAATCTGGGTAACAAAGCAAGACTCTGTTTCTAAAAAATAATGATAAAAATAATTTAAAAAACACCCTGCTTGCCACTCTTGTAAAATAAGGAGAAAGTAGGACTAAAAGGAGGCTCTTTTCTCTTAGCCTAATTTACATGGTTCTGTCCATGAACTTTGAGCCAGAGGGGTACAACTCACCTCCTCCACCTCTCAGAGGTCATTTTCTCAAACTCTCAGAAACGCTGTATAACTTTAAAGATACATCAGCTTGTTACATGCAAAAATGGAAAAATGTTCACCAGGAAACAAAAATAATCTCCTCATGTTTGTGCAGCCTTAAGGAAGCCGCTTTCCCACTTAAAAATCCAGCCCTTTCCTTTTCTCTAACTTCCTATTTTCTCTTTCCTAATTTTACGTTTTATTAAAGCTTTTACTTTTGGGAACTACTATCTTATAGGGGAGATTTAAGAAACAATTCCAATCTCCCTTCCACAAATATTACTATAATAACATTAACACAGAAACTCAGTTTGCCCAAACCAACATGATGCCTTCTTGGTTAAAAGACCCCTAAGGGCAAAATCCAGGTCGTTGGATGGTTTTTATGCTATGCTAAAAACTGAGTGGGAATATGGCGGCAAACCTTTAACAATTTATAAACGCTGACTATGACCGTACAAAAATAGGCCGACAAAGCAGGATTATAGGCCTATTTGAGATTGAATAACTTTGTTAAAATTAAACATAAAATAGGAACCAGATCAAAAAGACATTTTATGTAATCTTAATCTTCTTCCCTCTCTTCGCTTAGCCGGGGGTTGGTGACGGGACTTTCTCTAGGAACTTAATGACTCTGATGTCTTAAAGTACATGCGGTGGAACCAGCTCTGTCTACACAACCGCGGGCTTCAGTGGCGTCTTCCTAACCCGGCTTGCCGGCCGGGGGCGTCCCGAGAGCCTCGGGGCCTTCCCTTCACCCCGCGGAAGTTGGACGGGCGGCGCTGGTAAGGCCTCCCGGGCTTAAAGTGCAACGGACACTGCAGAAATCCAAACTGGTGGCATTCGCAGTTTGGGGACGCTAGAGGAAGTAATGATTTCTGGTTTGTTAACCTCAGGTGACAAAAATGCCGAGCCAGGCGGGAGCTGGACCTACAATCTTCTGCTGCGTGGTCAGACACGTTATCCATTGCGCCACTGGTCTACCACGCAACTCCTCCACTGGCCGTTGAATTACTGCGTGTTGAGAACACACTCGGCAACCACTTTAAAGGGCAACGCAGGCTGGTAAAGGAAAAGTACGATAAGCGAGGGCGGTAGAGTCGCAGGGTCTTGGCACCGCGGGCCCCAGACACCTGGGTTGAGGGCCTTTACCCGGTCAGTCAGGCTATGGAGCCAGAGCGCGCTGTCTTTCTGCGCACGCGTGGAGCACACTGGCCGGCTCTCTGGCGCTGCGCTCAGTGCAATCTCCGGCTGCCTGGACTGGCGCTCCGATTCTTCTGTGCTGAATCTCAGGGGACGCCAACATCCACACATGTCCCTTCGATAGCTCAGCTGGTAGAGCGGAGGACTGTAGCTACTTCCTCAGCAGGAGACATCCTTAGGTCGCTGGTTCGATTCCGGCTCGAAGGAGACGAGTGCGGTTTTTATTCCAGCTCCCGATGACTTATGTCCCTTTCCTTGGGTGCCCTCAATGACACATTGCATTCCAACAAGCAGTTGGAAACTCTAGCGCGTTCTCCCCATTTTGGGCCTCCCAGCCTGCGCGGTAATTCTTTTTAGCTGTCCCCCCGCGGGGACGTGCCCGGGCAGGTTCCCAGCGCAGCTGTGGGTCTCCGCTCGGCCGAGCGACTGCCGGGTCACGGCTTCTGCATCTTTCTAACCGGTCTTTGGCATTGCCGGGCCCCTGAGTCACACAGGAGGCAGCGCCGGCTCCAGGGGGCCGGGCGGGGCCCTCTCCTCAGAGCCCCGGGCAGCTTCTGCGACCCGATGGCTCGCAACGGCTGCCCTGAGGAGGTGGGGGGTCCGCGGGAAGAGGGATCTAGTGCTCCCGGAACCTGGGAATCAGAAAGAAAGAGAACAAAATACCCAAAACAGGAAGCCTAAAAATGACACAATGTTACAGAGACAAGGCGGCACCCAGGCCGTTTTCCCCGCTCCCTTCGATAGCTCAGCTGGTAGAGCGGAGGACTGTAGGCGCGCGCCCGTAGCCATCCTTAGGTCGCTGGTTCGATTCCGGCTCGAAGGAGAGACTCATCTGTTTTGTTGCTTTGAACCAAAGAAATCTGTCTTTAGTGCTGAGTGTTCTGACCCTTCTCTAGAGGAACAGATAACGAGCCGTGCCCAGCCGTGGGGGATTAGCTCAAATGGTAGAGCGCTCGCTTAGCATGCGAGAGGTAGCGGGATCGATGCCCGCATCCTCCAGTTTTCTTTCCTGTCCCGTACGGTTTTTCTTTCGATTCTCTCAGCCCAAACTAGAGCTGAAAAGTCAGACGAAGACAGACGAAGTCAACTGAAGAGTAGGGCGAGCTCCAGGTTACCACTCTAAAACTTCCCAGACAAGGAGTGGTGGGTGCTAGCAGTTTATCCTTCTAGCTTTAAATTTCTAGACCGATTTAGTTGGGGGAAATTCACGAAATACAATTATTTCTCCTTCAAAATGGAGACAGATTGCCGTCACATGTATTATCCCTCAAAATCCTTTATGATTTGTGATAAGATGTCTGCATTTCCAGGGACTCATCTGAGGCTAAGCTGCCCATCGTTCGGGGAGACCCTCAGGGAAAACAAAACAAGAAACAGAGAACTTGGAAACGGACACTGATTACTTTGAACGTTTGCTCAGCCGGGGAAGCAGGAACTGTTCGGCCCCGGGCGGGCTGCCTGGCTCCGGACAGAGGACAGATCCGAGGTGGATGGATAAGGCAAAAGGTAGCCCTGGGGAGGTGAGTGGATAAAGTCCCTGGACACAGGGGCTGCCCTTGGAGGAGGTTCTTATGTCATTGTCCTCCAGTGGAAGTAACTGTGCAGAATTAACTAGAGACCAGCGATGAGAGAGAATTAATTGGATAAAAATTTTATCTAGGGCAGTCCTTGAGCGTAATTTTGTTAAGCAAAGACAAGACAAAAACAAAACGAGTAAAACCCAAACACACATCCACACACTCACTGAAAGATTCAAAGATAAAACAGAACACAAAGACTTTTCTGGTAATAAAATCTCCCTATCCTAATTTTCTAGAAAAAAAGCTGTTGAAGCCACCCCGCAGTTCTTACAAGACAAAACACAAATCTTCCACACAAAAGCAGAAATACAGTATTATCCTTTGTGAGGAGTGCAGCAAATAAATGATATTTCTTCAGGGTCCTAGGCAACCTGTATACTTTTGTTACCAGTGTATACAACATGCTATGGTTTATTGCTGTCTTTCATTTTCTAGAGTGGTCTCCATTTTTACCTCGTTTTATTATTTTCAATAGTCTTTCAATTGAATATGTTGTAAATTACTTGAAATATAACATCATGATGTTCATAAAAACAAATTCACAAAGTAAGAAAAAGAATTCTTTTATCAGATGCCATGTCCCAGTTTCTAGTTTGGGATTATGGGCGTTCTAGCTGGCTGAGGGGAGGAACTGGCAGTGAAACTTTAAGTGACCGAAAGAGCAAGAAGTAAGTAATAAGTCAAAGGAATAGCAAGTAATGCACCCAAAACCCAGTGTAGGACACACGTTTGGGGGAGGTGACCTGGGCCAGAACTCAAAGGATATCTCAGAGTCAGCAACCCAAACTGGGAATGGAATTCACATACAAAGCTCAAAGGTATCAATCAGGAAGCAGTAATGCATAGTGGTTAGTCAGGCAGACTGTGAAACCTGATGGCCTTTCTTGGCTTTGCTACTTCTAACTGTATGACCACAGGCAGGTTGCTTGACATTTCGGTGCTTCAGTGTCTTTGTTTCTCAAATGGGGATATAATAATAATACCTACTTTTAATTAAGATATAACATGTAAAAGCCTTAGTACAGTGCCTGGCACATAGTAAACACAAAATAAACATTAGCTGTTATCAGTGTGCAAGGAAGGAAGAAACAGAAACATAAAGTGTCATTTCCCTGGCAAACTGCAGAGATTCGACACATTTCAGCACCTGGAGGCCTGGCAAGCATAGCATCATACAGTGAAGGCCTGGGGGAATTAGTCTAAGGGTTTGTATATGTGTTTATATAAACATATATGGAAGTGCTTGGAAAGAGGTGCTTGGATCTACTGTGTAGGGAAAGTAGGAAGAACAATGCTAAAAATACAATATGATGGTTAGATATATTATGGTGTGGCCGTGTAATGAAATATATATAGCCCTCAGAATTGTATTTATTAAGAACTTACATTGACATGGGAAATGTTAATAATCATGCTTAGAAATAAAGTAGGTATAGAGCAATATAAACAAGCATAAGTTATTTATAGAAAAGACTAGAAACAGGCTGGCATGGTGGCTCATGCCTATAATCCCAGCACTTTGAGAGGCCCAGGCAAACAAATCCCTTGAAGTCAGGAGTTCGAGACCAGCCTGGGCAACATGGTGAAACCCTGTCTCTAAAAAAAATACAAAAATTAGCTGTATGCGGTGGCATGTACCTGTGATCCCAGCTGCTCGGGAGGGTAAGGTAGGAAGATCTCTTGAACCTGAGAGGTCAAGGCTGCAGTGAGCAGTGATTGCACCACTGCACTCCAGCTTGGGTGACAGAGGGAGACCCCGTCTCAAAAAAAAAAAAAGAAGAAGAAAAAGAAAAAAAAAAAGACTGGAAACATGCATTAAAATGTTAACAACAATAATGATCTTTGGTAGTATGATTACTGTGATATATTTTCCTTAAAATTTTAAACTATTTTCTAAGTTTTCTGAAATAAACAATATTTTTAAATTGGAACTAGGGATGACTTTAAAAAAATTAACAGCTGACATCAACCCAGCACTTCCTACAAGCCGAGCACAGCTCTAGGTACTTTACATGTTGTAACTTATTTCTCTCATAAAGAGAACACCAGGCCCAAATGGCTTCAGTACTGAATTCTACCAAAGAGTTAAGGAAGAAAAAAAATACCAATTATATACAAATTTTTCCAAAAAAAAATGATGAAAAAGGAGTACTTTCCAACTCATTCTATGAAGTCTCTGATACCAAAATTAGGCAAAGACATTACAGAAAAAGAAAACTACAGACCAATATAGCTTATGAATATAGATGCAAAAATTCTCAACAAAATTTTAGCCAAGTAAATCCAACAACATATAAAAAGGAAAATACGTTATGACTAAGTGAGATTTATCCCAGGAATACAAGACTGGCTCAACATTCAAATTCATAACATTAAACAGATTAAAGAAAAAAAATCATGTGATCATCTGAGCAGATGCAGAAAAATCATTTGACCAAATTCAACATCCATTCCTGCTTTTAAAAACTGTCACCAAATTTAGAGGGGAAGGGAACTCATTCAACCTGATAAAGGACATAAGTGAAACACATGCAGCTTACATTATGCTTAATATTAAAGAACAGTGCTTTCCTCCTAAGACCAAGACCAAGGCAAGGGTGTTTTCAGCTCTCATCAGGGCAATAAAGCAAAGGAAATGAAGTAAAAGATCTCCATATAGGAAAGGAAGAGGGAAAACTGTTTCTGTGTGCACATCTCACTTTTAAACAGTATTGGTTACATGTTGAAATGATAATATTTTAGATGTTCTGGGGTTAAGTAAAATTTTTATTTATTTTTAGATTTTTTAAATGTGGCTATTACAAAATTTAAAATCATGTATATGGAACATATTTGTCACATACATCTTATGTCTTTGGACAGTGCAAGTCAGAGAGATAGGCAAGGGCCAGATCACATCAGGTCTTGGGACCACAGTGAGGATTAATACCTTTATCCTAGAGGTGATGTGACCATTAATAGGATTTAAATAAGGGGTGACTTGTGAGAAGTGGATTGCAGAAGGCAAGAGTGAATTCAGAGAAATCAGTTAGGAGGCTGAGGTGGAGGAGAAGTGGGGCTGGGGCTGGGTGGGGAGGGTGGAGCCAACGTGTGGAGTTCAGACATAGGCCATTGGGAAGACCTTGGGCTAAAGTATTCCCTACTTGTTGGGACTGTCGCTGCTTATTTCTGGCACATATATAATGAGTGTTTCTTATTTCCAAGAAATGTTCAGGGGAAAGTAAAATATGTTCATTTTTCTGACGTTTCCTCAGAGATCTTTATGATGAAGTAAAATTTATAAACAACAGATTTGAAGAAGGAGTGATTATCAAATGAACAAAAGATTTCAAGCAGAAGTTGGCAAACCATCTAATGAAAGAAATGCCACAGTGTTAGCTGCTGTTAAGTGCTTTTCACGTTCATTTCTCTTTGATTTTAGATTTTGTAAGATGTTTCTTTTCATTAAAAATTTAAAAATCACGCGGGGCGCGGTGGCTCACGCCTGTAATCCCAGCACTTTGGGAGGCCGAGGCGGGCGGATCACGAGGTCAGGAGGTCGAGACCATCCTGGCTAACACTGTGAAACCCCGTCTCTACTAAAAATACAAAAAAATTAGCCAGGCGTGGTGGTGCGCGGCCTGTAGTCCCAACTACTCTGAGGCTGAGGCAGGAGAATGACGTGAACCCGGGAGGCGGAGCTTGCAGTGAGCCGAGATCGCACCACTGCACTCCAGCCTGGGTGACAAAGCGAGACTCCGTCTCAAAAAAAAAAAAAAATTTTTAAATCACATATCCAAGCTACTAATTGCCAGGTAGACAGCTAAATAGAAAAGACTGATGACACAGGCAGAGGGAAAACATGAAGTATTTTGTAGATGTCATGGGTCAAGTCCTCAGTGCAAAGGGATGGCAAGAATCTTTGTAAGGAAAGAGAGTTCTGGGTTATATTTTTTGGAATAACTTTTAAAGTTGTTACATGGAGGGAAATTTCTAAGCCAAATAATGGTTAGACAGTGCTTTATTTGGGCCACACCCTGAGCTCTAGGATACCAAAGGAAATAACATTATGTCTTCTGTGGTCAGATGGGTTATATCTGGCAGGACTGATAACCGAGCCTGGTGCTTGGAACACCAGCTCATTGAAATCCCAAATGAAGTGTGGCCTTCTCTCCACTGGTCATGAGTGGAGTTCTCACTAAAAAAGGGAGGGAGGGAGGGAGGGAGGGAGGGATGGATGGATGGATGGATGGACGGACGGATGTAGGCATGCATGTGTGAATATTGCAAGAAAGAATTAACAGCCTCACTGGCTTAGTTTAAGAGGACCTGGTTTGCACAAGATTAAGTGTTGGCCTTTGTTTTGGCATGGGATTAAAATAATTCTCAGATTATATTGGTGCTGGAGTTGACCTGAAAGTCTTGGTCCACTGGTGCCCTAGTGCTCCAGCCCAACTAAACTTCCTTCTTCAGCAATCACCAACTCTCTGCCTTCACATTCACATCATCTGATGTTCTTTCCCTGTTTTAATTCTTTAGTCAGTCACCCCCTTTCTCACTTCCAGTGGGCACAAGAAAGCAAGAATACTTCCTTTCTACCTTAGAGGCTGAGCCAGGAGTGAGATCCGTCTTCCAACTCCTCTTGTTTTCTCTTTCATCAGGACTGCACTCTCTCTGCTCACTGTTTTGCTTCAAACCATATCTGTTTTTATTTTCTTTTAGCTGTACCCTCCATCTAACCATAAATTCTCTATTCTGTTTGATGAACAAATGGCTCCTTAAACTAAGGCTGGATTATTTTCAAGTACCTGGAATTGCAATTACCTGCACCAAAGACACAAAACAGAACGTGGGTAAATGAAATGCTGAGGATGTTCTGGAATGTTCAGGATTCTTTGGGATTTTCTAATGTCTCCTGTTCACAGAATGCTCTGACCTATTTTGACAGTTACAATGAAGAATCGGTGCTGCTCTTCTGACCACACTGGGGCGAGTAGAGATTCACATCACTCTAGCCAGAGAGTACAAAATCACCAAAAGACAGTGACCCAGTTCTTGTTGGAGAGTCCTTCATATGCATTTGAATTTGCCCCCAATATTTTTTTATATCTCGTGTTCTAGGACTGCTTGTCTAGTATAATAACCACTATCCACATGTGGACATTTAAATATAAGTTTACATTAATACAGTTTAAAATTTAGTTTCAGAGCTGCACTGTGCACATTCCAAGTACTCAAGAACCACAAGTGGCTAGAGATTGGACACTACAGATATAGAACATTTCCATAATTAGTGGAAATTGTTATGGACAGTGCCCTTCTAAAGCATGGGTGTGGTGCAGTTTAGTGGGTGAGGTCATGGGCTCTGTACTCAAAAGATGTGTCTCTTAGTCTGCATCACAGTTTCAGCAGCCATGTGACTCAAGGCAACTACTTAACTTGCTCAGC